TCGGCGATCTCTATGATAAATCACCGTTAGTGATTTTGCACGCCATCTCTAGTTACAATGTAACACACGGAATAAATCACCGTGCTATGAAGTACTACGAATATTTGCAACTTAGAATACTCCAAGAATATTAAGTCTGTAAGCAAATGATGGGATATAAATATAATAAACAATTATTTTACTTCATCGAAAACGCAAAACTGATGAATAATCCCACCTTTCCCTTAATACGAATTCTATGTTATTAAATATAGTCCGATTTATGTCGGAATCTTCTACATTTATTCATAACATTTTTAAGAAAGTACACTGAAAGGAGTAAAAGTTTAAATTTTTATTCATGGGTGATTCATTCCGTGTGTTACATTGTAATCCGAGGGTCGGTTGCCAGCGGCCAGATAACATCTCTACGCACCGAGCCTTCGCGTGCCAAGCCTCGGGTCTCCCTTGAGATCATAAATCTGTCACTCGAGCTCGTTCGAGTAGCTCGAACAAGCTCGAAGTATCATTTCGTTCGAACAAGCTCGAACAGCTGAGCTCGATTACCCATCACTAATAGCAACGGACGTATCGTAAACTCGTACGTGATGGAGAGACGATCCCGAGAATTTGTATCCAGATCCCGGAACAAGGGACCCTTTGTGCAGCGTCCTGCGAGGCCTACCTGAGAAAATGAAGACACGCGGCCAATAGGCGTTGCGCAATTAACTCCTTGCCTTATAACATCAAATCGGACACGTGATGACGATTTCAAACTGGATTTAATAAACATGTATACCATTCATTTTCTCTGAGTGGAAGTGAAATTCTGTTTCATTGGTATTAATATTTAAGATTTAGAGTTAATAATACACTTGCCCTAAGAATAAAATTCTCTTTGTATCTAGGAAATTATTAACGATAAAGTAATGCTTAAAAGTACAGCCGTCAAAAAAATCGTAAGGTATGGGGTTAAGAAACCGCTATCCATCAGGATTCGTCCTTTTGATTAATCACCACGGAACTTATCCCTCCAACATCTCTTTGGAGGGAGATTTGGAACTAGAACGCTAATATAGTGTTTTCTTTCAGACCAGAACCGTTACAATGCTCACCGTGAGCATACCGAACCTTTGAGGTTAATGAACTGTTACAACTCTCACCTTGTACATACTCCGTGAACTGTTAAACATATTCAGTTTTATTAAATACTTTTTGTTGAGTTTAACCGAGAGTGTTATTGCTTTAACCAGCGGCAGTTATTCCTAGCGCTCGAAATACATACTGACGTGTGCCCTGTGGTGCTTCTCTAATATAGTGGAGCTTGCTCATGTTCCAGTTCATTACTTACCAATCAAAAGAAATTTTAATTGGTCAGCTGAAGAATTAAAAAACTGGGAGGAGGGAGGTCCAGATTGGGTTCAGGTGGTGTCCTATGCCTTTGCCCCTGTACCCTCTATAACAACAGTAAGAACTGTACGATGCCGGGCCACGAAAGCCTAAAATCTCTACATATGTAATTTTACGACAACTATAATAATATTTTTGAAATATTCAAGAAGGTGATAGAGGGTGAAATGTTCAATAGGGTGATAAACCCCAGAACCAATGAAAAACACAGTTTTAGTGATACTGACTGATTGAGAGAGTTTTTAACTTTAAAACTGCTCTCCTGTAAAAAAACAAAAAATATGACTTACCATATTTTTCCCCTATGCTTTTCATATAACATCATACAAGAATTAATGTCACGTCAGTGACTGCAAATAAATAAATTTTCCATTCAAATGCTCTGAATATTTATATTCACACAACGAAATGCCGTCATTTTGTGAACAATCGAAAACGTTCATCCTTTCGAGCCAAGTCGACCTAATCGTCGCTTCTATCGCTTTGTCGTACGAACCGGCCTTTGGCGGTTCCCAGTTGACATTCACCGGCGTGAATCCAATGGAGCTAGGTTTCCAATTGTTTATATTGCGTGCGTGGGTGGTAGATGCCTGTGCCCCTTGTTCTTCCGTCCCTTCCCTGGGGAACGAGGGGATAAAACGGGCCGGCTGCGTGCCGGGGATTCGACCAGTGTATGCATACGACTTTCATTTCCGCTTTCAGAGATCTTTGCGGACATCACGAACGACGAACTGTACGACGCTTACGAGCGCCACGCGGAGGATTATCAGCGGTCGGAGGGTGACTTTGAGGAGGATAAAACGGAGCGTGAGAGGGGAATAGGAAAAACCGGGTTGTGGTGGTCGTTGGACCAGTGCGAAAGTTACGCCGATCTGAGCATACTGGAAGATGAACCCGGGACTACGGATCCGTATTTGTCCCACGAACTGTAAGCACCTGATCTGACAGCTACCTACATACGTGGACCCCGAGCCAGAGTATATTTAGTCACATTTTTCAAACTTTAAAGCTGAGCAAATCAGAGATACAAAAGCCTGGCAGCGTTCGTTAAGGAATTCACGATTAACAATCGATACCTTCAAACTATTGAATGGGCTTAAGAGAAATTTCGATATCTAGTAATGGTGAACATTGCATTAAGTCTTTTACGTGATCAACTGTTTGACTCGAAACAAGATATGGACTTAATATCACTGCTACCTACATTATTATATTACATTGTTATATTGAACGCTAAACGATTTAGAATGAAATAATTTTTAAACATGTAACATGTCATCTTTTAGAAAAAGTGGACTTAATATATTTGTCTCCTGAGTCCAGATATACGTTTCCGTTCCACCGATCGTGTATTTTTCAATTTTTATACAGGGTATCGCAAAAGAAGCGTTACCATTTTGTTTTTCAGCCATTTTTTCGGTTGAAGTTATGATGAATTATCGGTTTTATTTGACACTCGTGTAGTCTGGAACATCTAATTTTATCGTGGGATCATTGACGCCCCAACAACGTGTTACTGTGATAATTACATAGGTACGAGAAATTTGCGTTGATTGGTTTCAATTCCCGATTTACAGTTTGCAGATCCTTTAGGAAAGATCACAAGAAACATCTAAAAAATAAATGTTGTTGTAAGAGTGTGTATTTCTACAGTAGCTAGATATGGCTATTTGGCTGATACCATATTTCACGCATAAGTGGAAAGACTGAATAAACTATTGATAACATAATATGTATTTATATTGTTCCATTTACACTGTTATGTAAAAACAAAATGGTAGCAATTCTTTTATGACATCCTGTATTTGCAATACGACCATATTATATGGCATTCGTTGCAAAAGGGACGAAATGCAAGAAATGGATCTACAAAATTCATAACAGTATATGGATAATATCATATTTCTGTGTTCAGATGACAGAATGCGATACGTGCGGTTTTCCAAATTTCACAGTACAGGAAGTTTCAGGCTTGTTCAGCTGTGAAAAGTTGTAATGCTTTTAAAACAAATGATTGCCACGTCGCCTTTTTTTTAAACTACATGACACAGAAATATCGTGTTTTGCCAATTTCTAGATTTTATCTACGGACACACGTAGAAGATCAATTTTCATCTGAATTTCGATAAAAATTAGATATCACATTTTGCCATTTAACCACAGATTTAATGTATACTATGTTTGTAATAAAAAACAATGAGTGAAAACAGTTTATATGCTACCGATGTGCATAAACATTGCAACACTATTGTACGAGAAATGAAACCAAACTGAAATATTTTTCTGGAAAGTTTATTATAAAAATCAATCCTTTAGAGCTATGCAATTATGTGAAGGGAACATAGCATTTACAAATTATTATACTTTAGAGCACTGTAGGGGCTTTGAATAATTTTTTTAGTGTTATATGCCATTATTTTAAACGTAATTCTAACATTAATTTTTTGCAAAACGGCTAAAACGTTCAGAATGAAGAAAAATGTAGGTACATTGTTTTCTAATGTTTTTTCTAACCCCTTCTGTCTTAAATTATTTACTATGCCACATGGAACCTTCAAGCTTATAATATGAGTTATAAACGCTAAATAAGTTAATGATTCCAAATGCAATCACACAAGCAGAAAGGGTTAAGTAATAAAAATAATGAATTCCAGGTAGAGCAGACTTCTAATCATGTAAACAGAGCGATTCATTCTGCTTGTACGATGATCGTCGTTCTTAAAGGATAACACATTCAGTAGATTCTATTAAAAAATCTATAACAAGGAGAGATCTCATACCATAATTAATTGTTTTATAACAAATTTCGCTGGTCTTATGCACACCGCGTGATGCATAGTTTCTACTTCGTAACAACTTGATGACAGCGCATCCATCAGGTTCTTGGTAAGAAGCGTGACGAACGCGTTCGTGAACATTTGATGGCTAATATTTCACAGAACCGAGGCATCTCGAAGTGTTTCCCGCCGCGAGGCAACGTATCCGCGCGTCATCCTATGAATTCATAATCTCGAGCCGGCTTCAACCAGCTCCAGTTCCCTGTTTGGAGAACGGGATCCTGCGAGTGACGAGGGAAACTGAAAGGGAATTCGTTAAAAAATAAGATAATCTATCTACCGGGTGTCCGCGCGAACAGTGTACAGACCGTTATTTTTTAAACTGTTGAGGTGATAGGGTCCGGGTACACTCAACAAGGCGGGAATCTGTCGTCGATACGTTTTTATTATGCGTCGGTCGAGTTAGACGCGTGTACGTACACTCTCGCGATTCCTCGCCGCGGCGTCACCCCATGGGCACGGGGACCCCCCGCCGTCAACCCCGCGTGCCCCCCGGGCCGCGCCCCGCGCGCCATCGGCTACGTTCAGGGAAACGGCACGAGCCGTTCATGTCCGCGGAATTCGCCCTATTACGCAGCGCTCGCCACATCACCCCCCCCTTCCAGAAGGTACGCTCGCGTGACAGTTCGTTCGATTTTTGGTTGTTTTCGCTTCTTACTTACGTTTAAATTAAATGCCTAACTTATGCTACTATTTACAGGTATATACATGGTTCACTCGCGATCAATCGAATCCGGCTTGGAAACGCTCCGGAAAACGAATCCTTCTACCCGCTCATGTCGTGAACGGTGTACGGCGCGCCTGCGTGTCGTCGTTTTGCGACGTACGCGTTTCGGCTTCGACGACCACCTCGCGAGCGATCTCTCCGCTGTTCTCGGGTCGTTCGAGGTCGTCGGCTATGACGAACGCTGGTTTGAGCCTGTCGATCGAGACTCTTACCTTCCTGTCTTTAATTCGGATGACGAAACTCTTGTCGTCTCGCTCGACCACCTCAAACGGCCCGTCGTACGGGGGTTGCGATGGGCCCCTGATCGCGTAACGGCGCAAGAACACGTGTGGTGATGACCACAGTTCTTTGAAAATGAAAGGTTTCCTTGCGCCGTGACGGGTGACCTGTTGTGGCTTCATGTCGTCGACGCGCCTTCTCAACCGCGTGACGAAATCCGAACTAGCCACCTCGTTGCTGGGCAAGAAAAATTCGGCCGGCAAACGAATTCCGGTGCCATACACCATTTCCGCCGCCGTCGCGTTCAAGTCCTCTTTGATCGCCATGCGTATGCCGAGCGGTGCGATGGGTAAGATTTCGACCCAGTTACCCGTGTCGTGGCATTTTATCGCTGCCTTCAGCTGCCGGTGCAGTCTTTCTACCACTCCATTGGCCGCGGGATGGTAGGCCGTTGTGCGTATATGCGTCGCGCCCAACAGTCGGCACAACTCCTCGAAGAGTCTCGACTCGAATTGGCGTCCCTGATCGGATGTTATCCTCAAGGGCACGCCGAATCGTGCTATCCACGCGGACAGAAAAGCCGAAGCAACGGTCGAAGCCTCCATGTCGGCGATGGGGACCGCTTCCGGTCAACGGGAGAACCGATCCACGCACGTGAGGCAGTATCTGCACCCCTGCGAGTATTGCATCGCAATGATATCTAAATGCACATGCTCGAATCGACCAGCTAAATCTTGGAAGTCGCCGACGGGCGCAGACACATGTCTTGTGATTTTGCATCTTTGGCACGAGATGCATTGGCGCGTCCAATTCCTAGTGTCCGTATTTACGCCCGGCCACACGAACCGGCGAGTCACGAGGCTCTGCGTCGCCCGCACACCCGGATGCGACATTCCTTGCAACGAGTCGAAAACGCCCCGCCGCAAACCCCTGGGCACGTAGGGTCGCACGATGTCGTTTGCGAAATCGCAGTATATTTCCGCAGAGTATTCAGGTGTTCGCGGTGCTGCTTCTCGTCCTCGGAGACTATCAGAAAATCGTCGATATACGCGTAGACGAAACTCAAACCGCGCGTGATCTCGTCGACGAATCTTTGGCACGTCTGGGCTGCGTTACGTAGCCCGAACATTGTGTTGGCCGCCTCGAACAAACCGAAAGGAGTCGTGAATGCGGTTTTCTCGACGTCCTCCGGTGCGACGGGAATTTGGTTATACGCCCTCACCAAATCGATTTTCGAGAACAACTTTTTACCGTTCAACTGATGTCCGAAGTCCTCGATGTGCAGCGGGGAATATCTGTTCGGTACGGTACGGGCGATTAATGCGCGATAATCACCGCAGGCGTGCAAGGTACCGTCTCGCTTCGGGACGACGTGAAGTGGCGACGACCACGGGCTCTTCGACGGCCTGAGGACGCCCTGCTTGATCATCAGGTCGAATTCCGCCTTCGCTTCCCTCAATCTGTCCGGGGCGAGGCGGCGGGGTCTGCTGTGCACCGGCGGTCCCGGCGTCGTCTTGATGTGGTGTAAGACGTTGTGCCTCATCGTCTCCCGCCGGGAGACGGGCGGTCGCGTCAGATCAGGGTATTCCGCCAGCAACTGGTGATACACCGATTGTCCGACGACGGTCTTGATCGTAGCGGCGTCGGTGTTCGCCGCGAAACCAAGAGCCGACAATCCTGTCGTGGGGTCGACTAAACGTTTATTTCGCGGGTCCACGAGCAGGCCGTAGTGGCACAGAAAGTCCATTCCGATGATGGGCGTATTCACGTCCGCCACAACGAAGCGCCACTGGAACTCGCGGCGAAGAGAGAGGTTCAGCTCTACCGCGATTGTACCGAACGTCGCGATACGCGTGCCATTAACCGCGAAAAGTTCGTACTCGCTCTTTCTCGCGAGGCCACGCACACGGCCGCGCGGGGACACGCACAGGTCGGCACCGGTGTCTATTAGGAAAGAAATCTTCGACCTCCTGTCGGTGACAAAGATGCGGCGAGACACAGAACCGTCGTCGCGCGCCGCGCTCACGGACGGCTCTTCTCGTTTCCCTTCCAATTACAGGGTGCCCAACACTTCGTAGCGCGATCCTTAAAGGTTCGGTGGTACCAGCACACGTCGTCCTGGTCCTCCTTTTCCCTGCTGTGGGATCGATTGTGTCGTCGGGGTCGTGACGGGGCTCGCCGTCGGTTCCCGCTGAGTGCGCTTACCTCTAAACGCAGTTGCCGAATTTGTTCCTGTAACTCATCGAGTCCGCAGCTTTCGACCACCGAGGCGATGCGTCCGGGTTCCGGTCGAATTTCGTAGACACGGTCCGCCATTTCGGTCAGCGAAGTAATGTTCGGGTCCGTGGACGCGGCCAGAACCCGCTGGGTATTCGGTGGCAGACGACTCTTCCACAGCGTCAGCACGAAATCGTCCGGGATGAACGAGTTGGCGAGCTTCTTTAGGTCCCTGAAGAATTGCGAGGGGGTTCGGTCCCCGATCTCCTCGCCCTCCAGGAGTCTTCGCACCCCGCGTACTGTCGGACTCGGTGAGCCTTTTGATCAATTCGCGTTTCAAATGCTCGTATCGGTCTAATGCGGGCGGGTTGATCACTATGTCTTCAACGTGCTCGATGTGATTTTCTCCCAGGTTCGCAACAGTTATGTTGTACTTTGTCTCGTCTTTCGTTATTCGCGCCATCGCGAACTGCACGTCCACGAGCCTAAACCAAAGGGCGATTTTGTGCGGCCAGAATTGTGGAATCCGTAACGACTGCTGGTTTATAATGCCGACGGTGTCGGTGTCACGGCTTGTGCCGGCCGCGGCCGGGGGGGCGTTCTCACCGGCGTCCACCATGCTCGGCACTCGCGGATCGCGAAACGGTTTTAAAATTACACCTGATCACCTCCTTCACTCCACTATCACGTCGGGGTCACCAATTGAGGTGATAGGGTCCGGGTACACTCAACAAAGCGGAAATCTGTCGTCGATACGTTTTTATTATGCGTGTACGTACACTCTCGCGCTTCCTCGCCGTGGCGTCACCCCAGGGGCACGGGGACCCCCTGCCGTCAACCCCGCGTGCTCGCCGGGCCGCGTTGCGCGCGCCGTCGGCTACGTTCAGGGAAACGGCTCGAGCCGTTCCCTTCCGCGGAATTCGCCCTATTACGCAGCGCTCGCCACACTGTTTGAAATATGAGAGATGCCACGAGGTTATTAGCTAATTAACGTCCTATGGCGAATTTTTTGTTAACATTATTATTTTAAGAGATATGAAGCTTATGTTTGATTCTTTAAATGAAATTGTAATACATATATTTTTTTTTGGATCACTTGATAGTGTGTTTCTAGACAAATTCAGTAACCTGTGACAATGACTCTACGAACCTTACCATTAGAGGAGTGAAAAGAGAATAATTATTCAAGAATTATATCAAGAATAATTATACAAAAATATATAATAGTAATATATAATATATAATCAGGACTTCCGTTTCTGGTCGCGGGCATGACAGTCGTACGAATCACAGTGACAGTCAGTGTGAAGTAAAGTAGAGTGTGGTGGTGAAAGAAAGAAGTACGAGTGTGTGTGGAAGTTAGGAAAAGGGTGAGAAATTAGTAGGGTGAAAAGGGAAAAGAGGATAGGAGAGTGAAGACAGAAGAACAAAAGAGATAAGAAGGAAGCATTTGGAGGTTAGGTGTAGGCAGCAAGTGTAGCGGGGCAGGAAGAGAAAGACGGAGATACAAGTGGAGAGATCTGTGGGAGAAAGAGGGAGTTAACAGAACGGGCGATAAGGAGGGAGATTTGAAATAGGAAATAGAATAGAAGAGAATAGAAAGGGTAAGAAAGGGATAAATGGACGGAGAAAAAAGTGACGGGAGGAGAGAAGGAGGGAAGGGAGAGGAAAAACGAAAAGGGATGTTACACAAAGAGGAAAGATATAGAAGAGATACCACAAGTAGTGTAGGGAGTAGCATGGGGAGTCTAGACAGTATATGGGGGAAAAAAGGAAGGAGAGAGAAGGAGAAGATGGTTGGGGGAGGGTGAGGTAGAAAAGGGAATGTTTAGGAAATGCACCAAGACGGATAGATCACCAGAGGGAAAGAAAAACGGGAAGAAAGGAGAGGGGCAAAAGAAAGAAGAGGGAATCATGGAACGTATGATAAGGGAAATGATGAAAGAATTAAAAGAAGTGAAGGAAGAAATGAGAAAAGAAAGAGAAGAGAGAAGAAGGGTAGAAGAGGAATGGAGAGGAGAGAGGAAAAAATGGGAGGAAGAGATGAGGGAGCAGAAGGTGAGGAGAGAAAGGATAGAGAAAAGAGTGGAGATGATAGAAGAAAAGGAAGATAAAATGCAGGAGGCGAT